ACATATATGTATACATGTAGACGTTGCCCGAGCTTGAAATTTAGGAACCCCCCTCAGATTCTGCCAATTGAGCTTGTCTGTGTGTCAACATTCATGATTTATTGTAAATATATTTCTATATAGATAGATATATATATATATGTATAGACCCTCATCCTGGAGGCATCAGTGTTTTCTTGGGGTTGCCCGGGCTTGAAAAGAGCTGGTCGTGGTGAACACTTAGAAACGCCTCCCGCCCCTCCAGATTCTACTAATGGGACTTGTCTGTGTGTGTGCATGACCAAAACTACAAATATGTCAGCATGTGTGTAAGCAAGGCATGATCTATTTACTAGGCCATCCTCAGGGCATGGTGAGCACTCAGAAACGCCAGCCCCCCTCCAGGTTCTACTGATTGGACTTGTCTGTGAGTATACATGACCAAAACTACAGAAATGTCAGCACGTGTGTGAGCAAAGCACACATTTTAGAAACCTTCATCCTCGCGTCGTGGGTTTTTTTGTTGCAGTTGCCGGATACTGAAATCAGCTGGGCGGTGAACACTTAGAAACGCCCCCCGCACCCCCCCCAGATTCTGCAAATTGGACTTGTCTGTTTTCATGATCCTTTTACAAACATGTTTCTAACTACATATACATGCAGAAAAACTAGAGGACGATTGGCCCGAAAGCACTTTCCCCCAAGCGTTTCCCATCATGTGCTTTTCCATCCGCGGAGACGCCCTTTTACATCGATGCAACAGCTTCTGCAAGGCAGGCTCGTGCAACTTGGCTCTACGTAACTTGCTTGGCTCTGTGCCACTTGGCTCTGTGCCACTTGGCTCTGTGCAACTTGGCTCTATGTAACTTGGCTCTGTGCAACTTGGCTCTCTATGTAACTTGGCTCTATGTAACTTGGCTTTATGTAACTTGGCTCTATGGTAACTTGGCTCTATGTAACTTGGGTCTGTGCAACTTGGCTCTCTATGTAACTTGGCTCTGTGCAACTTGGCTCTGCGCCACTTGGCTCCGTGGCGCTGTGCAACTTGGCTCTGCGCCACTTGGCTCTGTGCCACTTGGCTCTGCGCCACTTGGCTCTGTGCCACTGGGCTCTGTGCCACTTGGCTCTGTGCCACTTGGCTCTGTGCCACGCGCCTCCGTGCAACTTGGCTCCGTGCAACTTGGCTCTGTGCCACTTTGCTCGGCGCAACTTGGCTCTGTGCGACTTGGCTCTATGTAACTTGGCTCTGCGCAACTTGGCGCGCTGCTACCTGGCGCGCAAGCTACTTTACGCGAGTGGCTCTGCGCAACTTGGCTCTGTGAAGCGTGGCTCTGCGCAAGTCTACTCAGTGCAATGTGCTTTGCGCAAGTTGCGCTGCACGATTTCACACGAATGTGGTCTGCGCAAGCTGCATTGTTCCACGCTGCTGCGCGCAAGTTGCTCTCTGCACGCTGCTGCACGCAAGTGCTCTGTGCAGGTTGCTCTGCGCCGGTGCGCTGTGCAAGTTGGTCTGTGCAAGTTGCTCTGCGCAAGTGCTTTGTGCAAGTGCTCTGTGCAATTCGCAGAGCGCAAGTTGCTCTGCGCAAGTGACTCTGCGCAAGTTGCTCTGCGCAAGTGCTGCCGGAGCTGTGGGAATGTACTTCGCGTATTATTTTTGTATTTAAAGTTGCGATTTTCCAGCCGGAGCTGCGGGAGTGTGCTCCGCGTACTACGTTGTACTTAAATGTTGCGATTTTCCAACCGGAGCTGCGAGAGCACGATCCGCATACTACGTCTGTACTTAAAAGTTGCGATTTCCAGCCGGAGCTGCAGGAGCACGCTCCGCGTACTACGCTTGTACTTAAAAGCTGCGGCTTTCCAAGCCGGAGCTGCCGCGGACCAGGGGGGAATCGAACCCGCGACCGCGGGATTGCGAAAGGCCATTTAGCGAGCAACAAATTCGCACGGCGCCACAGCGAGAGCGCTTCGACACGCACGATCCCCGCAGAGGGTCGCGCGCGGCTTGCAGAAATCGTCAAAAGCCCTCAGTTTTTGAACCTCGACCCGCGAATCTCCGCAGAGGGTCGCGCGCGGCTTGCAGAAATCGTAAAAAACCCTCAGTTTTTGAACCTCGACCACGCGAATCTCCGCAGAGGGTCGCGCGCGCATGTTCAAAATCGTAAACAGTCCTCAGTTTTTTAACCTCGACCACGCGAATCTCCGCAGAGGGCGCGCAGCAGAAATCGTAAAAAGTCCTCAGTTTTTGAACCTCGACCACCGCAGACACCGCAGAAATCGTAAAAAGTCCTGTTTTTTGACCTCGGCCACGCGAATCTCCGCAGAGGGTCGCAATCCCGAGCGACGATCAAACTCCCGCCCCGGCGCCTTAGAAACCTAAACTAACTTACATAGCTGCTAACGCCGAAGCTCTACGCAAGCTCTACCTAACCTTGGCTCTGTGCCATTGGCTCTGTGCCACTTGGCTCTATGCAACTTGGCTCTATGTGACTTGGCTCTATGTAACTTAGCTCTATGTAACTTGCCTCTATGTAACTTGCTCTATGTAACTTGGCTCTATGTAACTTGGCTCTATGTAACTTGGCTCTATGTAACTTGGCTCTATGTAACTTGGCTCTATGTAACTTGGCTCTATGTAACTTGGCTCTATGTAACTTGGCTCTATGTAACTTGGCTCTATGTAACTTGGCTCTATGTAACTTGGCTCTATGTAACTTGGCTCTATGTAACTTGGCTCTATGTAACTTGGCTCTATGTAACTTGGCTCTATGTAACTTGGCTCTATGTAACTTGGCTCTATGTAACTTGGCTCTATGTAACTTGGCTCTATGTAACTTGGCTCTATGTAACTTGGCTCTATGTAACTTGGCTCTATGTAACTTGGCTCTATGCAACTTGGCTCTATGTAACTTGGCTCTATGTAACTTGGCTCTATGTAACTTGGCTCTATGTAACTTGGCACTTGTCTCTATGTAACTTGGCTCTATGTAACTTGGCTCGATGTAACTTGGCTCTATGTAACTTGGCTCTATGTAAATTGGCTCTGTGCAACTTGGCTCTGTGTAACTTGTCCAAGGGGAAGAACCCTTCGTGATGCTTTCGGGAAATATATATGGACCCTCATCCTCGCGGCATCAGTGTTTTCTCGGGGTTGCCCTGGCTTGAAATCAGCTGGGCGGTGAACACTTGCAACCCCCCTCCAGGTTCTACTGATTGGACTTGTTTGTGAGTATACATGACCAATTCTACATATATGTCAGCATGTGTGTAAGCAAGGCATGATCGATTTACACATATATGGACCCGAGCATCGCTTTGTCGTTCGAATTAGGTGGGCGGAAAACACTTAGAACCCCGACTCCAGGTCCTACTGATTGGACTGGTCTGTGAGTACACATGAACAAAAAACGTGCGAGCAAGGCGTCATCCGTTTACACATATTTTAGACCGTCATCCTCGCGGCATCGGTGTTTTCTCGCAGTGGCCGGAGCTTGACATCAGCTGGGCGGTGAACACTTTGAAACGCCCCCCCCCCCAAGAGTTTCTGCCAGTTGGACCTGTCTGACTACATATATGTCAGCACGTGTGTGAGCAAGGCATGATCTATTTACACATATTCCGTGAAGCCTCTTGTAAAGTTAAAGGTTATCGCTTTTTTGCAACCGTATCCGTCTAAAGGTTTTTGTGCGTTTGACCTCTTCACGTGACTTCGAGATAACCTTGCCAGCTGAAAAAGGCGCAACTTTCAGTAAAGTGAAGCAAGATTAGTTAGTTGCGCAGCTCCGGCTCAAAAGTCGCAACTTTCCATTACGAGTGTAGTAAGGAACGTGCACTTTATCAGCTCCGGCTCGAAAATCGCAACTTTTCAGTACAAGTGTAGCAAAGAATGTGCACTTCGGCAGCTCCGGCTCGGGAGTTGCAACTTTTGTACAAGTGTGGTAAGCAAGACAGAAAGAAAGCACACTTTGGCAGCTCCGGCTCGAAAGTCGCAACCTTGCAACAAAGGAAGTGCACTTTGGCCGAAAGTCGCAACTTTTTAGTACAAGTGTAGCGAAGAAAGTACGCTTTGGCAGCTCCGGCTCGAAAGTCGCAACTTTTCAGCGCAAGTATAGTAAAGGAATACACTTTGGCAGCTCCGGCTCGAAAGACGCAACTTTGCAGCACAAGTAGTTAAGGAAACACACTTCGGCAGCTCCGGCCCGCAAGTCGCAACTTTTCAGTACAAGTGTAGTAGAGGAGCTGAGTCATGTCCAGCCCTTTACATATTGGTCTTTCAAAGGTTTTGCTAGGCGCTCACATATAGACTTTCATCCTCCGGGCATCGGTGTTTTGTTGGGGTTGTCGGAGCTTGAAATTAGCTGGGCAGTGAACACTTAGAAACGCCACCCCCCTGATTCTACCAAATGGACTTGTCTATGGCGGATCGACACCTACCTCTGTGCGCGCAAGTTGGCGATTTGCGAATTTAGAAACGCCCTTGAAGCGGTCATAAATAGTTATGTACCCAGGTCGCGGTGCTAAGGACCTGGTCCACGCCTTGTGTAACCAACAAGTGCATATATATACATATATACGTATATGTGTGGATGTGCGAAGGCTGGTCCAAGCCCATATAGACATCAAACAAGGCATGAAAAACATGAACGCTTCGCATCTTGGAGCCGCTGGGCTACTGCTGCAAAACGTTTCTAAGTGTTGAAAACAATTTCTAAGTGTTAAAAAAATCCTAAGTGTTGAATTGGGCTGTAGCAGTCCGGATCAACACTTAGAATCGAAAGGTGCCTGCTGTGGACAGCACTTAGAAACGAAAAAAATAGCTGGTGCCAAGAGAAAATTTACAAAACCGTTTCCAAGTATTTGTCCGGCGCTATAAACTTCAAATGATGCGTCAGCGCTACACATGCCACACGGTTGTTGCGAAGCTAGACCTGCGCCACAGGAACTGTCTCTGCGTGACCCTCAAAGCTATCGCCGCAAAACAGGATCTACCTGTCCACACCACCGTCGCCTTCTGGGCGTCCGGCCTCCCAAGCTTTCATGCTTCACGCCACGCGCCCAGACCTCCAACGGCACCTGAGTCCCAGCCCCTCCAGGTCGTTTTTGTTAACACGTTTGCGTCAGCCCTTCTTCATTTTTTTGAGCCATCTGAGATTCAATAGAGCCACCCTTCCCGGCTCGGTCTGCGGTGTTTGCAAAACAAACCCTTGCCAAAGCTTCTGGGAGGAATTTTGAGTAGCTTCCCATGGAACCAACCGGGGTGACAGCGAGCGCGTGCGCCTGCTCCACATGAGCAGCAAAGCCCACCAGAACGTCCCCGTGCCCGGCTGCGGTGTCCATATCCGGCCTTAAGAAACCAAGATGCAACTTACATCCCGGCTACAAAGATTCAAGCACTGCTGACATGTACCCCTGAGTAACCTAAGGATGCGCCCCTAGCTGGATAATGTCTTCAAACTATGTAACACACGTTTTCATTAAATACTTGAGGAAAAACTGTATAGTTGCGATGTAGAAACAAGTGCAAGCGTGCTTCAAACACCTATACCCACACCCCCGCCCCCGCACACCACGCACCCACGCACCCATGCACCCACACACGCACACACACACACACACACACACCCGCCCATACACCTACAAACGCACACCCACCCACCCACACACGCGCACATGTGCGCGCGCGCAAACCCAAACGCACACACGAGTGCTGCGGTCGTGCTTGAATGTGTCGCGCGTGTGAGCCACTGTCCAGATACAGTGTTCTGGGGGAAGCTGGGGTGGAGCTGCGGTTGTTTTGTGGTTGGCTAGTTGCGGCTCGTCTGTGTGAGACAGGCATCGTGAGCCCCCTTTGTTCTTGCGGCGCGCGCCTGTTGCTCACAAATGGACAACTCTGAACTAAAAGCAGCGCCCGACCAAGCAGTTTCTAATTCGCTGGTTGTCTGCGGCTGCCGTTTTTGTGCACAGTTGGATTTTGTCAGGGTCTGTCGCTGGCCTGCTTGGTCGGGCTGCTGATTTTAGCGAAGTGAAGTGGGCTTTTAGTCGCGCAGTTGCGTTTTTTCAGGGCCCGTCACGGTGGGATTTGGGTAGTGCGGCGTCTGGTTTGCTTGTTGCGCGTGGGTGCCATGTTTTCGCAATTGTTTTTTCGGGGCCTGTCGCCGGCCTGCTAGGTCGGGCTGCGCTTCTTGCGAAAAGTTGGGTCTTTCAAGTAAAGCTTCTAATTTGCTTGTTGTGTGTGGCCCACGATGTTTTGTTGCGCAGCTGGGTTTTTGCTAAGAGCCTGTCACTGGCCTTCTTGGCTTGCTCTGTTTCGTGGAGAAGTATGTTTCCGAAGGTTGACCATCGTGTGTGGCTGCCGGTTTTTCGCGCGCTTGTGTGTTCAGGGCCTGTCACTGGCCTGCGCGGTCGGCCTGCTGGTTTTGCGAAACAGAACTCTTGTTTGTAGGGCTGTTAATTTCTCGTTGTCTTCGCCTGCCAGTTCTCTGCAGACGCAGTCTTGCTTGCGATGAGCTGTTCCCTCACGCAAAGCGGTGGGCGGGGCGGGGGTATGAGGAGGGACATGCGGGGCGCTGGGGGTTGAGGATCAAAAAGAACCAACTCATGACCGTGGAAAACTGCAGGTAGCATTGGTCGTAGTGGTAGTAGTAGCACTAGTAGCAGCAGCAGTACTAGTAGCAGCAGCAGCAGTAGTAGCAGTGGCAGCAGTGGTAGCGCTAGACTAGTACTCGACTTGCGCGACTAGTACAATTCGCCAGAGTTTCATGAGTAACAGTAGTAGTGCTACGAAAGTAGTCTTAATAGTAGTTGTAGTATAGGAGTAGTCTTAATAGTAGTTCTAGTAGCACTAATGGTTTCAGCAGTAGTGGAAGAAGTAGTAGTAGCAGTAGTAGTGGGACCAGCCGTGGTAGTAGTAATCGTAGTAGTAGTTGTTGTTCTTGTCGCTGTGGTTGCAGTAGTGGTAGAAGAAAAAGAAGTAGAAGTTGTAGTTGCAGTAGTAGAGTCGATTTCCAGTAGTAGTTGTTGTTGTGGTTGTGGTTGTAGTTGTGGTGGTTGTGGTTGTGGTTGTGGTTGTGGTTGTGGTTGTGGTTGTGGTTGTGCTTGTGGTTGTGGTTGTTGCTGCTGCTGCTGCTGCTGGTGTTGTTGTTGTTGTTGTTGTTGTTGTTGTTGTTGTTGTTGTTGTTGTTGTTGTTGTTGTTGTTGTTGTTGTTGTTGTTGTTGTTGTTGTTGTTGTTGTTGTGTTGTAATGGAAGTAGCAATGGGGGTAGCAGTAGTAGTCGTAGTAGCTTTTTGTAGTAGCAGTGGTTTAGTAGTAGTAGTAGTAGTAGTAGTAGTAGTAGTAGTAGTAGTAGTAGTAGTAGTAGTAGTAGCCTAGTAGTAGTAGTAGTAGTAGTAGTAGTAGTAGTAGTAGTCTGGAATAATGTATCTTTGATCCCCTGACAGGCGGGACCTGCGGAATTCTTGGAGAATCGGGTCTACCCCCCCATTTTATTTTGCGGGGGGACATAGCCTGGTTTCATCCGAAACCGAGCGATCTTTGGGCATGCCCCGAAATCAGGGAGATGTGACCCCCCCAAAACAGGTCTTCCGAGCCAGGAAGAATTTAGCATCGCCGGTACTTAATTTAGCATTGCCAGTGCTAGTTTGAGAATAGTACATCTATATTGTCAGTACTAATGTTAGCATTGCCAGAAGGAAATTAAGTATTGGCAGGACATTCTTGCTACTGCCGGTACTGAATTTAGCATTGCCAATATCAACTTTGGACTGCCAATGCTAAGCCTAATAAAGTTTAGCAAGGACTTGAACTGGAAAAATCGGTATGTAAAAACGAATCTGGATGAGATTGGCCACTCAGACTGGGAACCTGGCCCGCAGTTGGCCAGAATACGGCTGATACTTCCAGGCGGATTTAGCCAAGCTCAGGGCCAGGCCACAGTTCAGCCAAACAGCCACCTCCTCAGTCAACCTTTTGATGATGCCAGTCTTGGCTACGAGAAGAGGGGGTAGCTTTGCTGCAATAGTCAATTAATAAACCTGTTCTGATAACACTGCTTGGGACTGCCGGGACAAAATTTAGTATTGCCAATACCTCCTTTCAAAGGTAATTTTCCAGACCTCGCAAGGATTTGCACAGGAATGTCAAGATTTGAGATTGCTCGAACTGTATGTTTGGTCTCGGAACCGTTTGGGGTTTGGTTAAAAGGAAAGGAACGCCACCCCGTTTTGGACATAGTGGGGTACCATCAAAAACTAAGCAAACACATATGTACTTTCTCTCTCTATATATATGATATGTATATATTATATATTTTTGCATACGATTGAACGCATGATGAAGGTTTCCTGGCCCAAACACAGATATTATAGCTGCGCCACCCCGTGGTGTTCATGTATATTTAGGCTTGATACCGTTTGGGGTGGGGAAGGCCACCCCTTTCTGGTATGGTGGAGTACCCCCATAAAAAATGCAATCCAATACTTGCTATCTCTATACATATATATATGTGTGTACATTAATGTGTGCATACGATGAGTCGCGCGATGAAGGTTTCCCGGCAAAAAAATATCTAACTGCGCCACCCCATGGTGGTCATGTGTGTTTTGGGCTCGGTACCGTTTGGGGCTGGGTTAAAGGGAAAGGAAGGCCACCCCTTTTTGGAGAATAGTGGGGTACCCTCAAAAAAAGAAAATTTATATCTACGATGTGTATTTATTTATTTTTTTTATGTGTGCGTACGACTAATCGCCTAATGAAGGTTTCCCGGCCCGAAAACAAATATTCTAACTGTGCCCCCCGGTGGTGTTCATGTGTAGCTTCGGCTCGGTATCGTTTGGGGTTGGGCTAAAGGCAAAGGAAGGCCACGCTTTTTGGACCCTCAAAGAATAAACAAATCAATATTCACTATCTCTATATCTTTTATGCCTACGATTCATCACCTGGTGAGGTTTTGCAAAAAACAAATATTCTAACTGTGCCACCCCACGGTGTTCATTTGTATTTTGGGCTCGGTTCCGTTTGGGGTTGGGTTAAAGGGAAAGGAAGGCCACCCCTTGTTGGAGTGCACTGAAGATCCAACGCTCGCTATCTCTCTCTGTGTATTATATATATATATATATATTATGAAAGTGTGGCCTGATGAAGGTCTCCTTCCCCCCGAAAAAGGTGTTCATGTGTATTTTCTGCTCGGTACCGTTTGAGTGTCTGGCGAATTTGCTGCGTGTGAAACATTCTAACTGTTCGTGGGAGAGGGGCGTGGCACGTTGGGCTGAGCTTTTGAGCCCCGAAAAAACGGAGAAGCCAGGGGCCCCTCATGCCAGGAGGCGAGTCAACCACATAGTCAATGACAAGGCAGTTGATCCCGTGGGGTGACCACTACCCTCGACAATGGAGTCGTATAGTAGGGATCGTTGTAAATAGGGGTTGTAAGGCTAATATGGCCTGCGTTGTCTCACAACCAACTGCGACAGCGGAGCACGGTCCTTTTGCTTCTTTACAGCTTTCCGTTGGATATTTGTCTTGAACCACTTATCAAGCGCTTGAGCCAAAGCATCCATATGCATGAGTCGGCTGTTCACACAACAACACCCCCGCAAAGGTTCGAGGGACCTTAAAGGAGGGGAAGAGAACAGGGTGACCCTCAGAACCTGCCCTTAGGATTTTGGCCTGTGGCCCGGAGATTCTTAGCATCCCCCATCCTGGGCTCGGGTTCATCCCGGGGTCAGGAACCATCCACAAACACATGCCGACACTCATGGACGCACGGCTTTTCTCATTCAATTCTGTGAAACGTCTCTGCACGAGTTTGACCAGGTTCTGTATACTGAACAGGAAACAAGAATGCTACAGGTCGCATACCGGACCTCATGTGCATTGATGCACACGCAGCAAACGATCTATCAGGTAGTGGTACAGATCCAGAAGAGTCTGCAGAAAACGAACATCCATGACGAGCATAGTCCACCACCAATTTGTAACAAATAACAGAATAATCGTTGACCACCAAATACCTGACATCTCCAGAATAGTAGTCGCCGATGACGATACTGTACGGAAACATGAAAATGTTGTGTGGTGACAAATGCAAGTCTCATGCAAATACTTTTGGGTTGATCATGGTACTACGCACGATGAGTACCACGATCCCAGCGCGAAATAAAAATGCAATCTCTAGCTGATCCCCCACATAGTAGAGATCGTACTGGAGATGCTTGGTCACCAGTGCGATGGCGCTGCGATGGCCTTTCTACTCGCCCTCCCCCGGAACCTTTCTAGCAGAGAATGTGGTGTCTCCTCGGTCCGATTGATCTTCTCGATATAGCGCGAGGGCAGATGTATATTGCGATGAT